TTAAATTTACCCTTTTTAATTTTTCATATTTATTTCCTATCTTATTCATAGTCTTTTCCTTTTTTGTTTTCTTTAGGTCACGAGCAGTTGTCCAAGCATTTCACTACATATCGTAGTGTGTATGACTGTGTACGTGACAAATAAAAATTTGAATTTGAATTTGATATCGGGATATGAGATTTTGGTCATATTGCACAGCCCTATATGAGTGCTTGTGTATAAATACACAAACAACACACATATGCTTTCAATTGTGTCATTTAGGTGATCTACATAGCACTGTTTTGGAAGTTCAGTTAACGCTAGACATATGTTTTGGAGTTTGCAAGTGCTTTGTCTCTAGGGGCCACCGTATATATTTATATATAAACATATATAAATAAAACCACGGGTTTTTTTACATTAGTAATTCCCTTTGTGCATAATTTTATATTGTTGTTAATAATAAATTAATTAAAGCAACAAAACAACCTGAAGAGCCGATTGGGAACCGGTTGGGAGCCGAAAGACTCGACTCTTTTTAGTGAGTCGAGCCGAAAGATCCGGTTCTCTAAAAAAGATCCGGAATTCCCATCACTACCACACAGCATGACTGACAGAAACACGGGGCTAAAATACGCGGAGGGATAACGAGGGAATGGGACACAGGAGGAGAGCACAGCTGGGAGTAATCAAACACAACAAGAGCAGGGGAAGCCAAACTAGGCACACTGACGCGACGAAGGCTGTGCAAATTCAAAGAGTCCTCCAAATGTGGCGACAAACGCCTCCTTGTTTTCCCCGAATTCGAAGGATGGCTCGGCGTATCCTTCGGGTCCTACCGTATCCCAGGATTCATTGCGGGCCATACAGGAGTTTTTCTGATAACCATGGCGGTCGAAACGGGAGTTAATGCGGGAGAGGAAACGCTTTCAAATGTAAGTGTATGAAAATCTGCTGGTACAAAAGTTACATTTTTATAGCGGTTGTGTTGTTAGGCTTTAGCATCTGCATAGACATGTTTTTGTTTTTTAAATTAAAATAATCGTAAACTAGCTTGTACGGTGGGTCCCGCGGTTTTTACATACGGCTAATTTAGATTTTTGTGACATGTTTTAGGGACCAAAGATCAAATGGCTGAATTGATTAAAATAAGAGGAGAAAACGACCCCTCTTCACTGGGGTGCAGGAATAAATCAGTTTACACATCACATGAGGCCGGTTTTATTAACCCTCATGCTGTACAGAACCTGTGATGTTCCTCTGATGTTCTCCCGTGAAAACTTTTGGATTTAGAGATTAACATAGTTGCCATGGTTTCCTCTCTTCTCTTATGTGTTGTGTGTGTGATCAGGACAATTCTGGGGAAGTTGGGCCTGCGGAGGAAAGTCACCCACCTCGCAGGCCAGAAAGAAATGGGACAACTTAAAAAAATACAAAGTACGTATGTGTGTTATCAAGAAGATAATTCTTAAGAACACAAGTTAAGAAATGTACAAATACTAAGAGCTGTTGTGGTGTTTTTATTTGTCTACTGTCATTTTTAATTTCCTCTGCCTTTAGGAAGTATCCAAGCTCAGGAGAGGGGTCAGTGGGAAGCCCACTGCTGTGCTTGGCCCTGGTTTGCCCTCACGGATGAGGTGAGAGGACAGATGCCTTCCATTAGGCCTCCTGTCCTAGTGTCCTCTCTCCCTGAGGACACTCCAGGGCCAAGCACAGCAGCGGGTGAGCAAAACGACAGCAAGGAGGAAGTGATGTGGAAACTTATTTCAACTTAGAGACCTGAGTGTGTTTAAATGTTTACATTAAAACTTAATCTATAATAAAGTGACACTCCATCTTTGTTCATTACAAAAATAGTGAATATTACATTACCAAAAACACATTTCAAAAAATCATCACCCCATTTTATACTAAATTTCATAATCAACAGGACCCAAGATCTACATCACTGGGGACGGCTACATCCGCTGTGGGGAAGCACGAGCGAAGGACCCCATTGGGACCAACCTCGGTCTGGATGCACCGCTCCGGTGGTTCGGCTGGGGTGGGATGGTTTGGAAAAGCCTGATCCCTTTTCTCTCTCAATGCCGTCAAGGAAGATTCGTACCATATGTCCTGGTGATCCCGGAATAATATCCGGAGTTGTCATCGACTCATGCCACCTCACGACACAGCTACAGTAAGTATTGAACTTTGAGTTCTTACTGCTCTTTGTTAATGTTATGGAAAATATAGGGCCATAAACAAGATCTGCCAAAAACTGATAGAAACCATTTTCTGAATAACTTCATCTCTTCTTCTTCTTCTCAACTTCTTTAGGCATTTAAATGAAGTACAATCATTTCTGCTGTTCACAAATAAGGACTCACAGGCTGCACAATCCTCGGCTACTCCTCAGGAAAATATCTGTAACGTTGCTGTTTCACTTCAGCCGCATGAATCGTGTCTCACATAATCTTCCTATGAACATCTTCCCTGTTTTCTAGTGTATTGTGTACTGTAACTTATTTTCAAAAGGGATTATTTGCTACAAAAACAGTGACTGGGTTCTATCAGAGTGAGTTGGACAGACGTGCATGAGCTGTAATATTTGTATGTATTTGATGAAGGCTCATAAGGGTCAAGTTAATTTTGTAGAGAGAGTTTGTACTTTCAGAGAAATATTGTAATGATTTCAGGCGTGTAAATTTCAAGCAGGAACCTCAGAAACACACTTGGTGTTTAAGAGGTTAACGATGTTTGTGTCATCTCAAAATGCAAAGAGACTCCATGACAGCAGCAGGTGTTACTGTATTATATCAGAACTGGATCCAGCAGAAATGTGTTAACCTGTTAATGTGTTTGATGAAGAGATGCCTGAGATGCCTTATTTCCACCACTGTTGCATATCCGGGTTTTAAAACTATGCGACCAGGTCGGGGTGATCACCTGGGACTTGAAAGAGGGAGTGGCTAAACCACACATTACAAAGTGTAATAAGGTGGCAGCCATCACCGATGGGGAGATTGTAGTGAAGCGTGTTTGAGGAGTTCTCCAAAGTCCACGAGGGGGGGCCTCATATATAATAAGGGGGCATGAACTGAGAGGCACAGCTCCCCCTTAGGTCATAAACATCACTGCATGGACTCAGTTTTTCAGGGCACCTGCCCTTCCACTGGCAGAAGGTCTTACTGCGAAAGCGGAGGATCTTCTGCATCCTCCTGGCCTGTAACGACGCCAAAGATGAGCTCAACCAAGGGGGGCTTATGACAACAGAAGGGGAGGTCGTGGAGGTCAGTATCGGTGGTCCCATCAGAACTGATATTTAGCTTTTCAAAGAAACCGTTATTGATTTTATGCATTTACCAGTCAAAATTGTTGTCAATCAAACACTAAATTGTGGGAACATGAACAACCACTGTTATTTTATCATTTGTTTCTGGTATTCATACAGTCCATTTCCATCATGCCTACATACATTTGTATTGTATGGGCTAGATTACACTCAACAGTCTTTATGTGCTCGCTAACAATGATGGAAGGATTAGATTATATCGTTTTAAATGCACAGACAAACGGCTTTAGTGAGTGCGATGTATACAATGAAAACAAAAGGAGGAACAATGGAAGTAGTCGACATATAATGTAGTGAAAGCTGTCGCTGAAGCATGGGTTTAAAGGAAAATACTCAAACGTGTTGTGTGTCCAAGGTATTTGTAGACTCGTCAAGAAACAAACGCCTGTCACGGATCTATACACTCACTATAACTGACGTTAATTTTAATGGACTTTTCTGTGTTTGGCAGTGAGGAAGGTTGTCAGGGAAACAACACGTTCCTATAAAAACTCTCCAGCTGAAGCAGGTAATGCTGCACCTGAAGTGTGATACTGACAGCTGAAAGTCATCTGGTACATTTGGCGGTAGGTGAGCAGATTGTATTAGCCTGTGGGCTTTGTGTGTCTGTGGGCTTTGTGTGTCTGTGGGCTTTGTGTGTCTGTGGGCTTTGTGTGTCTGTGGGCTTTGTGTGTTAGTTAATGAATAAATCTTTCATTCTGTCATGTTTGTGATTCCAGGATGGTTGAACCATGACAGTCTCCCTGTGGAGGGGGGCAGCCATTCACCACTTTGTGACCACATAAAGGTCTCACATGTGAAGCTGAACCAGTGTGCTTATGGCCCACAGCTGCACACCGCTGCACACCGCATCATTCACGAAGACTGCGGTATGAAGAAGCCATATGTTCGTACCAACATGTAACAGCAATGTCACATTAACAAAATATTTAGAATGATGGGTTTTGAAATGTAAACAGATGCACTGTGTTGGTCAAAATATGACATCATACTATCCAGAAACGATTTCATCATCTGTTGTTTTTAATGTTTATTCAACTGTATTCTAAGCTGCCTGTTGTGTCCCATGACCTCATACTGTTTGTTTTTTCTTTTTCTTTTATCTTGTTGCATAAAAATGTTCCTAAACAAATAAAAAGTGTCCAAAAAAAAAAAGAAAACCAAAGTATGGACAGCAGTATTCAAATGTGAATTTTTAACCAGACGTTATTGAACGTATTCATATAAACCTGCACTGTTGCTGCGTTTGTCAGCTGCCACCTTTCCTCTGCCTTTATGATTGCTAGTATCCAGCGTCGGGCGTGGGAGTGAGTGGGAAGCCCACTGCTGCTACATGGCCCTGGTTTCCCTCATGGATGAGGTGTTAGGACGGAGGTCTTCGTCCAGGAGGATGAGGACCAGCTGCAACCAAGAAAGATTGGATATGAGAATGTGAAGGGAAATGGAGGAAAGAGCAGAGGAGGCTGTTTGGTTTACTTGAAAAACTTGCCAAATTTTTTTTTGTTAAAGTTCTGTAAATAAAAATCGTAAATATTTTAACTTTATTTGTATTTTTTTCAAACTATGTGCTAGAGATGGGCCGATCCGATATTACGTATCGGTCCCCCAGAGCTCGTCAGAAGGCATGGACTGCACACGTTGAGCATAACATGGACCAAACTTGGTCCGAACACGTTGGTTAAAACAGACTTTTTTCTATGTTAAATACAAGTACCTAATATCGATAGCTTGCTGTAGGGTTTAAGGCTTAAGCTAAGAAATCTGTACAACTGTGTCCATTGAAAAGCTGTTGATTAGGGTCTGTTTAAAAAAAGGAAAAAAAGAATTGGTGTTGTGTGTTTGCACCACCAGACTTATGAAATGGACAAATTCAACCACATAAAAGCTTCTTAGCATTGTTGGGGTTTTGGCTAGGTGAGGATGACTACAACTCCCAGAATGCACCGGACAAGGGAGTGGGCACGGCTCTCTGCCCTGGCCGCTGACATGTTCGCAGCACTGGCAGTCCAGTTACATTTGTAAGAGAAGCTGCAGCTGATATAACAGGTTTTCAGCTCATCGGTTTCATGTTGCCGGAAAACAAACAGAATAAGGCGTTCACATGACCGCTGCTTCCCAATAATTTATCTGATGCTGACGTCTGTGCCCATCATGCAATCACAGAACGTCTACGAAACAGGAGACATGCATCTGAGAACACAAAACCATTGTTGCAGTTTGTAAAATCAGCAGAGTCCAGACACGGACCGTTTTCCACCTTTTGCAATACTGACTTCCTCAGGATCTATCAAGTTTGTTTTGGGGGTTTTCTTTTTTACAGCAATACTTCAGGATCGTTCAGATAGAGGATGATAATAAATCAAATCAAATCACTTTTATTGTCACATCACATGTGCAGGCACACTGGTACAGCACATGTGAGTGAAATTCTTGTGTGCGAGCC